TTTCTAGAGTCTCAACATCTTTTTTATATCATGGCAACCAAAACCGGATGCAATATTCCAAGTGTGGAATTACCAAGGCATTATAAAGTAGTATTAACACTTCACATGATCTTGATTCTGTCCCTCCATTAATGCAGCCTAAGACTATGTTGGCTTTTTTGGTATCTGTAGCACACTGCTAGCTCATATTTAGGTGATTGTGCACTAGGCCTTGAAGTACAGATGTGCTATCATGGGAGCAGACAAGTTGCTTTGGTTGCTAGCTAGGATTGTTGTGGGGTATATGGAAGAAGCATTCTGATTGGCCAGACATAATATATTCGTGCTGGAGTTTAAACCCTCACTTCCTCAACTGCTGCTGCTTTGACATGTAAAATGTGTGTGTATGTGGGGACAGGGGGGGAGAGAGAGGGAGGGAGGGAGGGAGGGAGGGAGGGAGGGAGGGAGAGAGAGAGAGAGAGAGAGAGAGAGAGAGAGAGAGAGAGAGAGAGAGAGAGAGAGAGAGAGAGAGAGAGAGAATGGAGAGACATGTTTGAGTCTATGCCCCTCTGAGGCATCAAGGTCTTAGGAAAAACATGGGAAGTCGGTGGCTAGAGAGAGAGATTGGTCGAGTGTCCTGGGCCACTGGAGTGTGTAGATGCTGTTTCCTGCCTCCAAAGGAAGAAAACAGTTGAAGATGTCATTTGGAAGCTTCTTGGGACAAGAGAAGTGATGAACACACAAAAGGATGTGCTTCACCCAACACCCAAAATGGACGGGGACAAAGAGTCATGGTTGCCTGCAAACAAACAACTGGAGACCTTGGAGAAGTCCCACACAGGGCAAGACTGGGCACAAGACTTAGAGGAAGGTGCATTACACAACTTCACTTGTGGAGGAATGTCTGTCAGGGTCCAAAAAAGGAACAAAGAATGATTTTGTGCAAACCAAAACCAGCCAATTCCCTTCTTATCTTCTTATCTTTTGCTTCTTATCTTTCTCAGTGAAAGGCTGAGGGAGCAGGAAGGGGAGGAAGAAGGGGAGAGTTAGTTGCTAAGGGCAGAGTGAGTATTTGCTAACAATATAGCTCTGGGAAAAAGCTAAAGAAAGTTAGAAGAGTTTTGACTATTGCTGCAATAGTTTCACTTTGATTTAATTCTGGTCACAAACTGCTGCGTGTGCATGAAATCACACACACTCCTAGCTGTAAAAGTACCTTTGATCACATAACAGTCTCAGTTAAAAGCATGCAGTAATCATGTTAGTGGGGAAAATATGCTGCAATTATCTAATTTTAATATAGATTGCAGACATAGATTTTAATTAGAAAGTGATAACACATGCCCCTGCGAAACAAACACAGTAATTTTAAGTGCAAATTCTGCAGAAAAGTCCTTGTCTTACTGCATGTATATTTCCTGCAAATGTCAGAAATCTCTGGAAAACATTCTCTCTCCCTTTTGCACTGAATATCTTCCATCAGTTGAAGGTCGCCAACTAAATCTCAAATCAGAAAAGAGAGGACACTAACAGTGATAGAGAAGAATAAAATATTATAAAATAATAAAATAAAATTAATTACATTTGCCAACATATCATATCCAGATTCAGGAAAGATATGAAAGTCACGAGAATTGTCCAAAGAAGAACCATGGTTAATATATCTGGGAGTACGGTAACTGAAACAATAAGGTGATCTTTGAAAAGAAAACTGAAAAAATAAAGTGATCTTAAAAAAGAAGTAAGGATCTTGAGTAAATAGAATTTGAAATGTTGATACAAAATCAAGAACATACATTAAGATGTATTTACAAATTGTTGCTGAAATATAACATGGACACAGAACAAATCTAAAGTATTATGGTAAAATTGATATTAAACTTCAAAGAAACAATCACAGTGTCCCAATGGGAAGAGTTACAGGAAAAAAAATCTATAAAAGTCACTCTGAACTATAATTTAAGAAAAATGTTTTATGAATGATGCATAACTCCATCAATGATTGCCAAGACAGACAAGGCACATAACAACAAATGTTGGAAAAGTCATAACAAAGAAGGAACATTTTATCACATGTGGTGGTTATGTTAAAAATAAAAGCGTAAAAGAACTGGAAAAACAATCAAAACATTCAAAAAGTTCTAAAAATAAAATTTGAACTGAAAACATAAATATTTTATTAGGTATAATTCTAGGAAATATAAGGGCAAAATGCCACAGCTTACTATGATATATGTTGACAGCTGCAAGAAAAAACTTCCCAGAGAAGCTTTGCAGATGATATCAGATTGGGAAACTAAAATTAGAGAAAATGCTGCTGGGCACAATTTGCAGTATATAAATGTAAAAGTAGGAAAGGCTGACTTATATACAACTCATTGCACAATGTAGGAAGAAAAATCAGGTCCAGGGAATAAAATGGAGGATACTTAAGAAAGGTCTCTTTATTGATGAGCAGAACCAGCAACAGCATGCAGTTCTGGGACAGCTGAGAAAATGGCTGAGTGAGTGGATGTATCTTTATAGAATTCTGATTGAGATGCTCCAGGGCAGGGGTGTCAAACTGTTGGCCCACAGGCCGGATGCATCATGGTGAAACCACCCCCACCCCATTGCCGGCAATGGCAAAAATGTTGTGATACGTCACGACACGTCACGTGCTATTCTAATAGTGGTGGATTAATCCTATTATGTCCTAAAGCTCATGTCCTATCCTTAGAATTTGGGTGGGGGAATGTAAATTCTTAATCCCATCAGCTGTAGAGGCTGAAAGCGCTTTGTTTATGAATAGATTGGCCCAGTCTTTCTTAATGGGTACAAAATATCCATCTCTAAAGACTTGAGGCTTCTGCTTGAGGCTATTAAAAAAAACTGGGGCTGCTTTCTGCCTTTGTTGAAATTTTTCTCCATTTCTCCTTTGGAGAAATATAATATTCTGCCTCTTTTTAATATTAAGATTAAATACTATTTTAATCTGGGAAAGGGGGGGCTTCCTACAACAGCAAGAAAAATTTAGACATTTGGTTATGATTTAGTTATTTGAATATGGTTTCTAGAACTCAAACAGTAACCAGCAATGATTTTTAACATTTATTATAATGTATAGCTAACCATATTATGACCAGTAGTTGGGGACACAAATGGAAGAAAAGGGAAGAATGTGTTACCAGAAAGTCTTTACATAATGCTTTTTATTTATATTCATCAGCTGTTCTTTTATTTTATTTTACTTCTTTTTCTCTTTTGCACCCTATTTCACTATTTCAACAATAAAGATAGATTTTAAAAAACCACTTTGTATTACAAAGTGAGTGATCTCTAGAACTGTATCTCACTATATTTATAATTTGGTACCTCGGATTTACTATAGAAATGCAAACCCACTGAGACTGTGTGGGCAGAAGGAAAAAAACATGAACCGATAACAATTCTTTTCACTCATACTAGTCACAGATATATCAGTGAAAGCATTCACATCATCATAGAAAGTTGTATTATGGGGAGAAATTATAATAAATGTTGTTTAAAATCAATTACAAATTAATCTTATATTACTGATATGCTCAATAGAGGTAGGGCGTCCTCTTTTGGTGAAAAAAGAAATGCCAGAATGCTTTTATAAATTAATATAATACATGCTTCTAATCTGACTGTGAAATGAATTATATTGCTATTTTCATAAGGTGACTTACTTCACAGCTAATACTATGAAGCTAAAAAGATATGAATTGGTACTATCCACTGATATTTTTATTCATAAAAAGTATATGAATATTTTCTTGACAATCATTTGAAGTGGACAACTGCTTATATTCAGTATTGGGGAAACAAGACGAATGAGAGTTTCCTCTGATCTGAGAGCCAGAAAAGGGATAAATTACTTCAACCCGCAAGGGTCAATCATGTTGTTCACTGTTACAAAGTTTAAAATTATTAACAATAACAACAACCAAAATTCCTTTCAGGGAGTTGTCTTTGTGCATGTTTTGAACATGAAAAGAGAAACAAAAGTTTTACCACCTGTAAACTAAAACTGTCCAACCTATTCTGCCATTTGGGATTTTATTCCTATTTTTGACTCCAGTGGACTGCTTGGATTGTAATGTGCTTCCAATATCTATAAGCACTTGGAAGTAAAACAGTTTTACTCCCAAGTGCTTATAGATATTGGAAGCCAATTAGGTGGATAGGTGGGATTTCTGGGTCTCTGTCCCTTCTATCCTTTTCAGGAAGTTGTCTTCAACATTTATCCCATGTAGAAAAAGCCATCGAGGGATTTCTTCCTGGCACAAGTAATGGGTCTGCAGCAAGCTATTTTCCAGGAAAAGTAACAAGACATTTGTTTGAGTTGATTTTAATTTATTTTATCCATTATTTTATCTCATGTGTTCTTTCCTTTAATGCATGTTATTAGTCTTACAAATATGCATTATCTTTCTTCCTTTTAACTTGGTCTTTTATTGCAACTATATAAACAATAATATAATACAATAATAATTGCAAAGATATAAATAATAATAAGTTCCTTCAAACAGGGAATATAATATTTTTATAACAGGCAGTTGTATTGTCACTACTTAATTACAGTTCTCTTCTATTTTTTTCCTTCCTAGTGTTTTCCATGCAACTGCAGGACTTGCATTTTTTTTTCTTTGTTGATTCACTGCTTGTAATTAGAACTGACAGACCAGCTCGTCACCAGAGCCTGACATAATAGGCAGAGCAAGAGTAACTGGGCCAAAGTCACCTAGCCAGCTTTCATGGCAAAGATGGTACTAAAAATCACAGTCACCTGTTTCTAGCCCCTGTTGCGTTCACTGCTAGACCAAACTGGCTCTCCATTACCATTCTCTTATATGATGAAGAAATTTCTTTCTTCCACAAAATTTTGTGTCAAAACTTTTTTTTTTAAAGAAAGGCTTTAATTCAGAAGTACATGGAAAAGGATTATTTGGGGAGTAATTTTATTCACAGATTATTTTAATGAAGCAAAATGCTTAAATGTCCTAATTTCCCAACAGGAAAAACACTGATTGCTGTTTCAAGATTGGGACTCCATTTCTGAAATGCCTTCCACTGAGATTCTGATCAGAAGCAATTGATACTAAGATGGCATCTTTCCTAAAGTTACCGTTCACTTTCCTACTGTTGAATGTTTTAAGTGACAGTCAAGCAGGTAAATTTTTCTATTATCTCAGTTTATTTTATTGCTACAATAACTTTATACCGGCTTATAACAGGACATGGACATTCATTCAACAGCACTTCCTTTACTCTTATTTTGCTTTATCTTTTATTGGAGGAGAAGATGAACTTCTATTTCTAACATTAAAATGATAGCTGCTGTATTTTTGGAGAATTAAAATGTATTGTTTGTATTGTGTTGGCTGTGTCAAGTCGTAGAATACTAATAATCAGTACACTAAGCCGGCAGGGAGGAAGGATAACCTGAAAATTTATGCTAAGGGCCAAATGCAAAAGTCATGAATTATTACAGATTTAATGTAAGTCAAATCAATAAAAACAATTCGGTTATAGGATATAGATCATATATCTATTTTTGTTTACTTATATGATTCTTATTAGGCTTTAGAAAGGGGAAAAATTACTTAATAATATCTGGTTGAAAAACTAGATATTCTTGTTCACTGTTATACATTCAGGAATATGTGGTAGTTATTGTTCAGTTTTTCCTGCTTAAAACAACCTATATATCATTGGATATCAAAGAAACAACTCCATAAATCCAACTTACAGGAATATATGTATATTTTAAAGATACGATCTTGAGTTTAAGAACCAACTAGGATGCCTATCAAGATATTAAGGAGGATGGGTGCAAGTACACAAAAGAGAGAGTAAGGAACTGCAAATGTCAATTAAAAACAGTTTTATTTGGCCCAAATAAAAATTCTTCTACTGGCATTGGAAATTCTCCCCCTTTCTCCTTTGTCAGAAGAGATTCAGTATCTCAGATTCCTCTATGAAGAGAAAGACAGTAGGACCAAAAATGAGTTGTCTTTAATGACAAAAATGTATAAAGCTAGATATTCTTCTCCAGTCTCATCCTGCAGTTGAATCAAAATTGAGCTTTGCAATCTTCCAAAGTGGGGTATTTTTGGAGGTATCTAAAAATTAAGACTATATGAAGGGTAAGGATATTTTATATAGAAAACTTAAGTATGTATAGAGTATGGATATTGCTTACTTGGTGCTGTTGCTGATCACCTAATATACTTTCCTGGTGAGTTGCGTGCATGGCTAGAATATTATTTATTGATTTATTTATATTTTTTTATATTCTAAAAGACTTATATAGACCCATATTGTAATACAACTTTGGGTGGTTTATAAAACAATAAAACCAAGAATAAAATCAAGAAAACCTATATACAAATCATGGCATCACAGTATGGCACACTCCACACATCTACGCATTATTATACTATGCACCAGCCTCAACTACCCTAATGCTTGTGGGAAGACCCAGCTTTGTAATGTCTTCCAGAAGACAAAGAGAGTAGGGGAATGCTGAATCTGGGGGGGGGGGGAAGGGTGTTTCACAGGGTGGAGGCAGCTACAGAGAACAGGATAACAAGATTTAAGGGAAGGGACGTGGACTGTGCCAACCCCATCTGACCTGGTAGGGAAGGCAGATAGCCTCAGGGAGAAGCAGGCCGGCAAGTGGCCTGGTCCCTTGCCATTTAGGGCTTTAAAGGCTGGAACCAGCACCTTGAATTGCACCTGGGAANCTGCCTGCATAGAGCATATTGTAATTATCAATAAATAATGGCTGACTATATAACTCACAATAAGTATTTTTGATCATAGCTTAGACTTTGTGTGAATCCTGACACTGTGGTTTAGCATAATGTGGAACTAGGCCAGTGATGGCGAACCTTTTAGAGACCGAGTGCCCAAACTGCAACCCAAAACCCACTTATTTATCACCGGATGCCAGGTGGGCGTGGCCCACTGGGTGGGCGTGGGTGTGGCTGTGGTGGTCATGGCAGACTGGGTGGGTGTGGCCAAAGTGGGAGTGGTCACCTCGATGTTGCTCATGGGGAGGGATGCCTGTGGGGACCGGGCAGGGTTGGGGGAAATCCAGGGGGTCTCTGGCAGGTGGGGCAGTGGGCAGGAGGCTCGTCCTGTGGGGTGAGGTGAGGCAGGGCTGGGGTGCCATTGTCACAGGGCAAGGCGAGGCAGGGGCCAGGGCAGCTGCTGCCTGACACCATCGGCCCCCGCACACAGAGGCCAGCGAGCGCATGGGGGCGAACAGTGTCCGTCAGCAGCCACAGCCTGCTGGCCCCTCGACTGGCACATTCTGGGGCTCCGCAGCCCGCCACCAGAAGTTCAGAGAAGCCGTCTCTAAGCTGGACAGATGGCCAAAACCTGAGGAAGCGATGCAATGGGTCGTGCCCGGGAAAAGGAGAGCATGTGAGGCCAGGAGGGATGGGACAGGGGGAAGGGAAATCAGCCATGCTGGAATGCATCTGGCCATGTGGGACCTTGGCGAGTTAGCGGGCAGCTGGTTGAAGAAGGACAGTTGCCATCTCTGGGGCATGGCGCACGTGCCCACAGAGAGGGCTCCGAGTGCCGCCTCTGGCATGCGTGCCACAGGTTCACCACCACTGAACTAGGCCATAGTTATTCAGTTAATCATATGTTATTTTTAACCACCATTTTTTGCTGAATCCAATCAATGGCATTATGATTTCAGCTTATCCATACTTCAGATAAAAGAGAGGTAATTATACTGAATAGCAGCCATTCTCCCAAACTTTAGGAGAGTTTCTTATTAGCCTTATTGCCTGAACTACTAAGCACTGAACCTTTTGCAATCCATATATGTCTGTTGGCTGTAGCCATAGCAATAGCACTTAGACCTATATACTGCTTCATAGTGCTTTTACAGCCTTCTCTGAGAGGTTTACAGAGTCAGCCTATGGCCCCCAACAATCTGGGTCCTCATTTTACCAATCTTGGAAGGATGGAAGGCTGAGTTAACCTTGAGCCATTATCACCAATCAGCAGAATTAGCCTGGAATACTGCATTCTAACCACTGCACCACCATGGCTCTGTAGAAATAGTATTCTTAATTCCTAATTATTTAGGTTTGCTATAAGAAAAAAATGCAGTGTGTTTGTATGTTTCTTCTGTTTTTTCTTCAGGAGCTGGTAATTTATCTTGTTCAAAACACAACATTGCAGAACTTGGAAAACCTATTAATATTACATGCAAGAATAATGAACGCATTATAAAAATGGGAGTGGAATTCTACTCCAACAATTCTACCAAACAGAATGCAAATTTAACTGGTGTTAAAACAGAAAAACAGAACTATACGGCCTTTCTCATAATTAACCAAACAAAGATATTACATGAAGGAAACTATGATTTAACATATGTAGCTGAAGACGATATGGATGTACTGACTATATCTCTAGAGGTGTTTGGTAAGTCTGAGCCTATGATCAATGGGCATCAAGAAGTTAGATTTGAATGTGTAATGGTCAAAATCAATTGCTAAAGCAGCTGCAGTTTAAAAGGATACTAATAATAATAATAATAATAATAATAATAATAATAATAATAATAATAATAATAATAATAATAATAATAATAAAGTTGGAAGGGACCTTGGAGGTCATCGAGTCCAACCCCCTGCCCAGGCAGGAACCCTACACCATTTCAGACAAACGGCTGTCCAGTTTCTTCTTAAAAACTTCCAGTGTTGGAGCATTCACCACTTCTGGAGGCAGGTTGTTCCATTGGTTAATTGTTTTAACTGTCAGGAAGTTTCTCCTTAGTTCTAAGTTGCTTCTCTCCTTGATCAGTTTCCACTCATTGCTTCTCGTCCTGCCTTCAGGCGCCTTGGAGAATAGCTTGACTCCCTCTTCTTTGTGGCAGCCCCTGAGATATTGGAACACTGCTATCATGTCCCCTCTCATCCTTCTCTTCGTTAAATTAGACATACCCAATTCCAGCAACCGTTCCTTATATGTTTTAGCCTCCAGTCCCCTAATCATCTTTGTTGCTCTTCTCTGTACTCTTTCTAGAGTCTCAGCATCTTTTTTACATCGTGGTGACCAAAACTGGATGCAGTATTCCAAGTGTGGCCTTACTAAGGCATTGTAAAGTGGTATTAATACTTCACGTGA